CGGTCAAACAACATTTTCTATTTTTGTTGTTAATAAATTTTACGAAAACAAGTATCAAAACAATCAGACATTTTAATGTTTAAATTATAAAGTTCTGTAACAGTAAATCTTTTCAAAAATAAAATACATAGTATTAAAATTAACCCCTTACTACAACGATCATTTTAGTGTATATTTTTCTTTTAGAATAGTTTAACTCTCAATGTTTTTTTTGGATAAAAAGATTCTCTGTACATGAAAATCATTAGTTAACATATGGTTATCGTTCTAAAATACGGACACTTTTTATTTTAAAATGAAACTTTGAGGGTCAAAATGCTCTAGAGAAAAGAATAAGGACAAAATGATTATTTGACCAAATGTTAGAAGAATTTTTACCTTAAAATAAAAGGTTGGAGGTCAAAATGTTCTAAAAAGGGAATAAAGGCCAAAGCGATCAATTTAACAAACTTTTGGGACTAATTTTGACATTAAGAAAAATAAAATAGTATAAGCCTTCGTTTATCTTTTAAAGGTTGGGTTGAACTCCGATTTAACAGACATCCTGCAAAGAGAGTAGTATATATGGATGTACTTTCCCCTGGAATTAAGGGAGGTATATGTATCGAGTTCATTACAGAAAAACAAGATATTGAAAACCTAGTACTAGAAATCAGACATGAATTCCTTCACAGTTCAATGATCAGCATTGATTCCAAATATTCGGACTTTATGCATGTTGGGGAACTTCGCGATCACCAGCACAAGAACGGCCACTGTGTTTAAGAAAAGAACCGGTAATTGATAATCCGTTGTGTGCAAGGCGATAAGATACCTGACAAATGGAACGCAAAGTAAGAGGCAGGGTGACATTAACCGTGATAGAGGAAAACATCGATGTTCGGGTATTATGTGCTGCATCGCATCATGCAGAGTGAGTCGACCAAGAGACATTCATGGTGTGGAGATGGCATCTAACTAAGGGTGTGCATATTTAGACGAAATGTGAAATGTCATATAGCACTCTTTACTTAAACAGAATTAAATTACATAATGTCATATAGTATCCTTTTTGGCACTTATTGGTAACTTTGTATACTAATAGATAAACCCTAATATCTATTTAAAAGCACATAATTAAGTCCCTAATCAATTCACACCGGATTTAATTGTTGTATTGTTAATTTCATAAGATATTTAAATCCATACGGAAGTTGTCATCTATATATGGATATCTTTCTTAATATGTATGTCATTCTGTTTTTCTAATCTTTCGGAAGAATTACTCTTGTAAATTCGTTATTTATTCTTTACTTTTGAAATATTACAGCCATGGTGAACCGGTTGATCTTGCTCGTGGTTCCTATTTTTGATCTTTGAGAAGCGTTGCAGGAACAAATCAATCGTTTATGATGTTATATGATAGAGATCATGGATCAATATATGCACACCCTTATTTAAGAATATTAGTATACCGAGTAAAGCGAGTACTTACAGCACAAGAGGTACAACAGTCAAGAACTTCCTGTTGCGAGTGAGTTGATTGCCATTGTCTATTTGCTCCCACCAAGTCAAACCATTGTAGATCCCTTGGTCATCGGCGAACGGTGTTCCCTTTTTCCAGTGAAAGAAGTGATACGTGACCTAACGTAAGATAATCCATGCATAACACAATCATTAAGAAACATAGACTGCAAAGTCGATAAAATTCCGATACTATATAGCATTTACAATTGTTATAGTGAGGAGGTCAAGACGATAATTTCTTTTCTTGAGGCATTAAATTAATTAGCAAATCTCTAACTAGATATTATAATATATTAATCCCCCCAAAAAGCTCACTTCACATTTATAAACAGCATATCATTATTTAGACATCTAGGAGCAGAAATTTAAAGGACTTACGACTGACCAGTAAGGATTATGACAACTAGGGGCTAAGCATAGTGTTTCGACAAGCCCTTTTTGCTTCTATTGCACATTTAGTTTCAAATCGAACTCGAATTGCCTAACTGGGAAAAAGGAAGAGTATATAGTTCAAGTTTGTCAATTTTTTCAACTGTACAGGTGAAATCAGTGCCTTCTTTCACTCTTCAAGGAGGCAGGAAAGAGAGCCAATCCGGATCACGACAAAACATCAGCAAATGTTGGTATTCGTAGGTGTATACCCTCGCGACTTAAAAATTCAGATTTTCATTCATCAACACATATCAAGACATCAAGAAAACTAGAAAATATGACACTAAATCATGAAAAATAAGAACATCTAGTGATGACAAAGATGTAATCTAATCAAAATCTCAAAGGGGAAAAGTACACTGACTTTGAAATATGTAACCTTAGCACTCCCAACTTATTAACTTACTCATAAATAACATGATGCAGCATGCTGAACCCAAATAATACCAAGAAGACTAAACAATTATCTCATCACATATTTTTACCCGTACTTATCTATCGCCGTCTACAGATTGGAAAATACAAGTCCAACTCGCATATCCAAGTGTTAGAGAAGTTTCCCCTCACTAATTAAGCCTCGAGCAGGCTCGAAGATATAGGATCACAATGCTGAAGGCCAACAAATAGATGACCATCATACCTAATTCAATAATCAACTTACAAACACGAAACAGAATGAATTGATCCTATCAACAATCAACATAGAGTTCTGATCACAGACAGAGACTTCCCACCAAGAAAAAGCAAGCACAAATTGGAAATTCAAACTCTATGCTAAATCTCTTAAACTGAGTTCACAAAAAAAAAAAAACCTAAAATTTTAAACAAACGCAGGAAAATTATCGTCGTATTTGCTTGATAAAGTTGGAAGCAACAACCAAACCCTTATTTCATTCCAAAACCCCATTAAGGAAACATCAATAAATAAAGCAGATCAAATCCAGATACGAAAATCAATCAAACACGAAAAAAGAAACCCAACTTTTAAGAATCGAAATCAAAAGAAAAGGGCTTACAAAGAAATGGGAGAGATGCACAATGGTCCAAGCGGTTCCAGGAGAAGTACCCAAGAGAGAGAGAACGATGAGCCATGAAAAGAAGACGATCAATATATAAGTGGACCAAACTCCTGGATAAGTGAACCACTCGGTGTTCTTGTTTAGATCTGTCGTAGGCTCAGCTCTCACGTACATCTTTTGCTTTTCTCTCGACCCCTTCTTCTTTCCTCGTATTATTACAAAACAGGTTTCTTGTCTCAAAGCTTAAACAGACGGATGTTGATTCAACGATGATGTATGGTGCTGGACTTTGGGTTTTACTTGTTCAAACCTCGCTTCTTCTACGGTGATTTTTAAACATTCTTTTTTTCTTGGGTAAACTACACATTTGGTCACTGAATTATTTTTTTTAAAATCTATCTTAACATTACATTTTGATTTTATTTTAATTACATATCGCTAAAATTTAACAAAACTATTGATGTAATATTTTTTATTTTTTCAATAGTGAAATAGTATTATCTTATAGTGACACATTAACATCACCGTTAGATGACTAAAACATAAAAAGTTATTGTTAAGATACCAAACTTATTGTTTAACCATTTTCTTTTTATAAAAATGAATAAGTTTTATGATAAGAAATTAAGGTTCTTAACCTTGTGGTCGTGGGATCGAGTCTCATAGGGGGCAATTCATAATTGTCGGAGGTCTTCCACGGAAGTTGTTCTCAACCTAGCGTTGGGGGCAGCCTACTACCCTACCTTCTCTTACCCCATTACATATGGGGATAGGGTAAGCTAATTTTATAGGAAATGAAGGTTCCACGTATAAAATATATACATTTGATAAACATGAGTTGTTTTATTTTAAAAAAATAAATAAATATATTATTTAATAAAATATTATTATTATAAATGTATTATTAATCTTTAAATATTATATTTAATAATAATAATATAACATGATATAATATAATAATAATAATATTTATTTAAGTTTAATTCAAAATAATTAATAAATTTAATTTTTATTATTTTTACTATTTTAGTCTTTGTTTTTATTTCGAAACATTATATTATTTTTCTTAACAGTAACATGTTGTTTCTTTATATAGAGATATAGTTATTCAACTATTGCTTTAGTCAAATGAACTTGTTTAGTTTAAAAGTATAACAATATTAAATAGATAAAATTTTTAAATATAAAAATTTAAATTATTAAATTGATAGAATATATAAATTTAAGAATTAAAAAAATTATTATATCAGTCATAACAGACTATTTTAGGTTTCAATGATAAAATGATTTATTTACAGTAATAATATTTTAATTTAATAATATATTTGCATTTAAAACAAATAACATATTTATTATCGAACACATAATTAATTAATTTGAAATATATTTTACCTAATTGTATTTTAATTATTTTATATTAAATAAATTTTGCAAGTTAATAATAGTTGGTGAATCCAATGGAGATTTAAATTGAGGCTGTAATTGCATTTTCGATTGAGTTGCCTTTATCGTGATTGTGTACATAATGAGTACTATTACAGTTATAGTTATTACATATATCATGATCATGCAATAACAATTTCAAATAATGCTTTATACACTATATAATAATCGTTATTCAAATAACGGATTACTATTTAAATTCATGTGATTGTTTAGTAAGAAAAAAAGAGTTGAAAAGTTGTCATTTTAACATATTTTGGTTTCTACAAAATCAACAATTTCAGGTTGAATCTACATTTCAAGTTTTGGAATTTATGGGCCTAGTTGCATTAAAACTAGCAAAGAAATAAACAATAAAAAAAATAGGGAGAACATGTGTTAAGACACAAAATAGAACCCAGTTTATAATTTTCATATGTTGTTTACTTGGCTTCTATTCTTCGGCAATGTGCAACTTAAACATAGATTTTCATAATCCAAACCGATTGATTGCTCATTATACGAGAGTAAAACAAATAGAACTATCCTCGAGCCGGATCGATACCTGTAATATGGGCTGATCGATCATGTTCGACATGAGTTTACAACAAAGATTCCAATCAACAGCAAAAGCACTAGAGGATGAGGCTGATTTATGGGGTCATTTTCTAGTGTTCACTTCCATCATAATCATCCCAATCTCCATTCAACTTTTCATGGTGTTCATCAGAATTCCTATGGATTCCCCACTTCCGGATCTCATTTCTTGATTCTTCTTCAGCATCAGGCAAATTTCTATCTTCTCTTTTTCTCATCTGAAATAGAAAAACAAAGTTACTATCATATTCGAACAGGACATTAAACATTCTCAAGGGTTTCAACTTTCAACACCCTGATACCTCCGGTTCTTGATGTCCATCGAAATGTGAATCTTCCACTCTACTCCTTGATGAAAGATGCTTAGCTGCCTCGTTAAATATTTGAAATCCTTGAATATCACCATTTTTTATACTTGCTTCCAGCTGCGTCGACAAGCGTGGCAGTTAAAATGCTGTATGTTTATACTCAAAAGTTGCATCTTATGCTAGAAACTAGAACAGTGATTTTCAGAGGCTCCATATTATTCAAATGTCCATAAATCTTGGATGAATAAAGAACATCGTTGGTCAAAGCATCAATGCGAATATATGAGGTATCATGGCATCTTCACTGATATAACTATGTGATGATCTTGATAGATTTTGTACCTGGACATGGACAATGCAAAATATTATGCTAGCAATAGGAAGCCAGCTATCTTCTGGGGAAAGTGATAAACTTGACCTGTTAAGACAGGAAAAATGCAAAGATTAAATCAGCACAACCTGTCAAATTAGAAAACGGAACAATTAGTCCATCGAAGCAAGTAAAGCACAAAAGTACCCAAGGTCTTGATTTTATGCAATTGCCCAGAAATACAGCTTTAGGAGTTAGAAGCATAACCAGTTGAGATGGAGAAATGGTGCAAAGAGACAAATTACATTATAATCAAGACACAGATGTATCAGGAATATCAGAGAAATGAGTTCTTAAAGAAACTAAACTTACCGAAATAAACACATTAGTTAAGGAACACAATGTTTAAATAAACACACAAAATTTACTTAATTGAAGCTTGAAAAAGGTTATAAACTTATGATTAAAAGACAAAAAGAAGTTGATACTACATAGCTGTATTTAAGTTTTGAAACTTCAAAAGAAAAAACAAATGCTTATTCAACTTGCAGTCAATGGCTTGCGGCATCTCTAAACTATTCAGTTAGGTCTTTCACTTAGCAAATCACAAAATTTTCAAAGCACTACTGTTACTTGGTGCATTTTCGATGATTCATGCCATAGGATGAGCAAAAGATATGAAGAAGATTGGAGCTTCCTGCCTCCTTCCTCTTTACCTATGACCATAGGCAGCTTATATCTAATATTAAAACAGTCATACAAATACAATCCTAGCATTTCCACTATCAACCATCCCACACACACACACACACACAAATGGTTCCTAACAGAGATATTAAAAACTATTTAAATTTGCCTTATACTTGGAAGACAATGAAATTTGCATTGTCTCCATTAGACCCAAGTTTTGAAATCCTTCAAGCTTCCAAACTAAAGCAAGATAAGAGCATTTCAAAGATAGAACATTAAATATTCATAGCAATGAGATGAGTGGCAGTGGGATAAAAATGATACCTGAGATAAGGAGCTAAGTATACAATTGAATACACGGCGTATCGACGCTTCCCCGTATCAAGCCAAGCAAAAACCCAGCTCTATATAAAAAAAATTAATTAGAAATTTAACAAGGAAGCTCCAGAGTGCCCATGGCCCCTTTTTTTCAAAAGAAAATGAAAATTCCAGTTTCTGACCAGCCAGTTGAAGTAAGGGATAAGGCTGATAATCCCCATAACCGCAAACCTCGTGTCCCCCGCGTTGATAGCCGAATCACCACCATCTTCATCCCTAGTATCGGCGACCGGAAGAAGCAGGGAACTCAGCATACACGCGCCGATTGCGGCAGCGAGGGGTGCGTCAGGCGAAAACTCCGCCCTGCATATTCCTCTCTTAATCTTCTTCTGTAACAGTCCACACCCAGCAACCAAAACATTTATTAAAAAAATAGAAACCCCAATAAAAGAAAAGAAAAGAAAAATCAAGTAAAAATTATCACCTTTTTCTGGGTTTTTGGAAGGTGATGAAAGGGTTTAAGCTTTGAAATCGAAGAGGGTGGGAGAGGAGGCTTGAAAGAAAATGAAGAACACGAAGTGGGTTGGGTGAGGTAGAGGCTGATCATGGTTCGGTGGTTGCTGACGGCGACATGAGGTGGTGGAGTGAGGAGTGAGGCCGGGTGTTGAAAGGAACAAGAAAGGTTAAAACTTGAAAAATTCTCGAGGGTCTGACATTATTGGGAAGGGTGACAAAATCATGGAAGATGACAACGATGGAGATAAGGCCTGCGTGTTGTTGTTTACTTGATTTCTGCTTGCCGTGGGCTTACCCAAACCCAATGTATTCCGTAATTGTTTGTTGCTTGCTTGTAAAATTTACGTGCAGTAGCAAAATGTTTTCCAAGAATAAATGTTTTCATTACTTTTAAGATAGTTATAAAGTAATATATATTCGAATTGTTTTTAATCATTTAATAATAAATTTTTTAACTTTATTAGTTTTAATGTATTCTTGCTTTGATATGTTTGAACTTGTTTTCTTTGAGGTACCATATGTACTATTTTCCTTCGACTAAATTTAGAGAAATTTTTAAAAATACCTTGTAACTTTCTTGTGTATGATATCTTTTAATGTTATCATACCTATTGCTAAAAAAAATATAAATTTTTAAGTTTAATTTTGATTTGAATAAATTTTAGGGTAAAGTATATAAATAGTTTCCAAATTTTTAGGGTGCTTACATTTTGATCACCCAACTTTTGAAACTTGCAATACAATTATCGAACTTTGAGTTCCTTTTCAGTAAGATCCCTACCGTTACATTTGCTAACGTGGCACCTAATCTCGTCAACCCCCGTTAACCCCCTTCTTCTTCTTCTTCTTCTTCTTCTCTCACACCTCCGGTCAACGGTGGCTCACATCACCATCACCGACGTCGCCTCCCTACCACACCTTGACCCTCGATTCATACTCATTGTCCATCGTTTGTCCCAAATCGCAAGAAAACCGTTTGAACATCCATTCTCGATCTCCGTTGTCAATCGCTGGTGACCTTCACCGTTAGTACCAGTAGGAGCGCCGTCTCATTCCAACCAAACCCCCCTAGCCACTCGCTGAGACTCACCTCCGTTCGCCGTGGATAGGGTCTCGAATCTAGTCGAAAAACCCCAACGCCCTTTTTTGTTTTCATTGATTTTTGGCTGATTGGGTTGTCCATTCACCACATCGCCACCATCGTTGGAGTCCTCACACCGTTTCGACCAAAACCCGGTCAGTTTCTCCCCCTCGTCATTGTCCCTCCTCCGTCCGCCGTTGGTTAAGGAGGAGAAAAAGAGGGGGTTAACGGGGGTTAGGTACCACGTCAACAAAAACTAACGGGAGGTAACGGTAGGGACCTTACTGAAAATGAACTAAAAGTTTGATGATTGTATTGCAAGTTATAAAAGTAAAGCGACCAAAATGCAAGCACCGTAAAAGTTTAGGGACTATTTATATACTTTATCCTAAATTTTATTTTATTTATTATGTATAAAATCTATTTGTAAATTATATTTTTTAATATAATTATACGGCCACTCATTTGATCATATCCAAATTCGAATATGATCCTGCCTAGGATTAATTAGAATGTTTAGCGAATCGTTCGGGCAGAAAGTTCATTGATGTTTATTTATTAAACAAATGAACATGAATAAAATTTTCTGTTCGTTTAATCAAACGAATGAATACGAACAAATGGCTCGTTCGTTCATTTATGTTCGTAAATGTTCGGTAATCCATTCGTTTATATTTGTCATCCAGAAACTCGCTATCCATTTCATTTCATGGTAGATTGAAAAAAAAACTCTAAATCATTTAAATTTATGTTTGTTTGTGTTCGTTTATCTTTTACATGAAAGAACACGAACAAACTACATTCTTAACAAACGAACACAAACACAAATTTCTGATGACACAGAATTAAACCGAATTATTGAAGCATTTGAAAGAAAGAAATTAAACTGTTGGAATAGAAATACCAAATGGGAAAGAAAGAAATATGTCATCATTATTTGACAAAAGAAAGTTTGCTCAACCTTAAATTATTCCAAAATTTCTGATGACACAGAATTAAAATCGAAAACAGATGTAAACGACCTCGACAAAACATAAACTCACTGCTATAATTAACATGAAATGATTCCGGCAAGAACATCGGTCTTACCTCGTGCATAAATTGTGTAAACTAAGCGTATGGCATCAAGCCACCCCCCTAGAGATTCCCACGAGTCGGCAACCTGAAGAAAAGGGAAGAGCAGATAATACCAGGTGAATGAAAATAACTTCTTACAATGAAAATATAGAGCATGACACTCTTACCAGGAAAACTGGACCCATAGTAGTATCAATGCAGAGGCCTGCTCCTGGTGGTAGAGTCAGATCAGCACATGCTGATACAGACACAATATCTGGAATCTCAATTCTGATACTCGTTTTCTCTTCATTTACTACTTCTGCAATTCTTCCGGAGAGGCTTCGGGAAACTTGTTTCTCCTCCACTTTGGTGGCCTGCTCATTTGGAAATGGAAGTCGGAATGATAAACCGTCACCAATCAATCGTCGTAAACCGACTCCGTGTAGCAGTTTACATTAAATTTGCCTTACTTAAATAACATCCTGGAACTTATTATGATAGTGGCTTGTAACAAATATATATATTTGCTCATACTATATGATTCGTTCCAACATCTACAGACTCCAAGGAACTTACAATAACAGAAGTTCGGATATTAAGTAATGAATTTTGCTTGGAGAAATCAATTCCCATTCTCCGGCAAAAATGAAATTAAACTTGATATTTATTTACCATTGAATATGAAATAATCAATAGTTTTTTTACCTGTTGAAGTGCTTCGTGATCCAGAAAGAACTCTGTTCTCTTCCAATCACAGTGAGGTGCAGTTGTGTTTCCAATTGGTGGTGCAGTCAGATACCCATCTTTAAGATGGGGCAACGGTAGCTGTCCAAGATTTTTTTTCTGTCAGAAATATAATAGAAAATAATTTTCCCAGCTAATTTATTCATGTGTGAATAAGCCTAAAAAATATAGTTCAAAGACTGAATACTGACCATTGAACGAACAAGTTTCAAGGCACTGCTGTAAACCTGCATACTTTAAAACGTCAAGAACGTATAGACAAAAACGAGAAGTCAAATAGCATAATTCTGAATCTTTAAAGCAAGGCGAAAATGAAGTATATCATTAACTTTCTTGTAAATTTATGCTGCAAAATCCATTAGCCAATTATTATGCCACCTATATAGCCAATAAGCTTTATGCAGTAAACCTCTGTGGCACAAATATACATAGATGTCTTACTGAGTAATTCTGTTTCAACGCATGAGCAGCTGTTATATAGATAGCAGATTGGCTATACAGTTCATTTGAGGAAACCTCTTTTGGATTTGTTGAGCCTCCAGTTCCGGTGGTATCCTCAGCTAGTCCATACTGCAATTAAAAACATAAATATTTCAAGTTATGATATATGGTTCACTTGAATGAAATGTTGAGATGATGAAGTCATTATTTAGTCTTATTAATTCACAAAGAAATGGATCATAGGTAAAATAGGATCATGGTATCCAGTACAGGAACTAGTAAAAAACTGACAAACTTACCAAAACAGTTCCAAGGTTGTATATAGCTCGATGGAAATCGAATTGCAGCTGTATTGCAGCGCGAAACTGCATTAGAAGTAAAGGGTATTGTAAGAATAGCATTTGCAACTTTGATTTGCTGCTTGTTCCTATAGACATCCATGCACTTTTATTTCTCCAAATGACTCGTACCTTACTAATTGCAGCCCTCACAATTTTTTGCTTCTCTCGTGCGGGAACAATGGTACTGAGTTCCTAAAATATACAAAAAAGAATGAAAAGAAAAACATTGCAGAACTCCAAAGAATTAGGCTCAGAATTTCATTTGTATGAAATGAAGATAAATAAAGCAGATTAAAAATATCAACATCACTAAAACATGGTTTACCTGAAGAGCAAGTCCCCAATTGTTTAGCGCCTGAAATAGAATTAAGAATCCTAAGAATTACCAACAGAAAAATGAATGATGGTGTCATTCTAACCAACAATTACTTCAAATATACCTGGGGGCTGTTCCAGTTGAGTTTGACAGCTTTTTCATAGTTTTTTGTTGCCTGCAAAACCATAACAATAAGATAGGCTTGCTTTATAACCCTGCATCAAGGTTTCTTTTCACTACAACAAGGCATTTATTACAAAAAGCCAAGGATTTCTACACAGTACTACGTCAAGGATAATGTGTTTCTGTACTAAATTCTAGAATGCATATATACCAAAAATCCAAAGTCAAGAAACCATTTCCTTGGTTCTTTGTCTTCATTCAAATGGATTATAAAAAAAAACATGAAATACTAGTGTTTCTCGTGCAAAATTCTATAATTGAAATACCAAAATTATATAGTCAGAACCTGCTGCCATAGTTCTTCAGCCTGCTTGGTCCGACCACGCATTTTTGCTCGATCAGATATTGCTATTGCCCAGTTGTAGAAAGCCTGTCAAGAAATGACATCACATCAAAACCATGTATATCATGAAAGGAATATATAATTACATAGTTCTGTGTGTATATATATGTAGTTATGTACTTATACAACGATAGACTCATTTCTTAGGGTATTCAATTTCTCATCTGACTGGTGCATTTTGCTCAGGGATGGCATCTTTTCTAATTGAAACAATATTTTAGGAAAAAAAATCATAAATTTGCTGTATGCAACAGGACAATCATGGAAACGGACAAGCACACATACATCATGAAATGTAGGGCAAAGACGAGTTGCCTCCTCATACTTGTTACAGGCCTCCTCTAGCAAAGAATCTTTAGAAGGTGTAGTAGAATCTGGACTAACATTGTCTGCACTTTCCTGCAAGACAAATAAGAACAGTGTAGATACAATCTGATGCATTGTGCAAAGATTACAATATGCTTGAGTTGACAATGTTATCCAGGCTGTTATGTCCAAATATGAATAGTAGAGGATGGTACATAATTTTCAACAATGCTTATCAAAATGAAACAGTACAAAAAAACCTGAAGAACCAATGCCCAATTATAGAGAGCATCATAATCTTCTGGGTTTCTCTCTAGTGCATTAGCATACCTACAAAATGTGAATGGAAATCACTATGGAATAGCAGGAATCTGGAACAGCAAGATATCAAATTCAATAAAACAGTATAGTGTGGAAAAAAGAAAAGACCGGACCTTCTGGCAGCATATACAAGAACCCTTTGACGGGACCGGCCCTCCTCATCAGCACCGGTGACACTATTGATCAACTCAAGCACAGCATTGTTTTGTGGCTGGGTACTTTCTTGACTGAAACAGATAAGTAACAGTTTAGAAGATGACATCATTTACAAGCACAAACTCGATCACACAACAAGATCATAACCTTAACGTAAGAATATCTCAAAAATTATACAATAGTAATCATTAACTCAAAAAAATTTGAATAAAATAAAAATTCAGATTCAAGAATATCCACGTCTACTTTATTGAATCTAATGGCTTTCCAATAAGATATTCAAAAATCAAAATTCTTCAACTTCTTTAGTCATCAGGATATAAAATAATTACGATCAGATGAAATTTTAATAAATTTGCATACATAAATTAAGGAGACGAATCAAGAGACAACTCCAAAGATGCAGAGATTTTTACAAAAAAATAATGATAAATCAAATTAGAAACTAGAGCGTGACATTTTGATCAATTGAAAAATACCTATTACGAGGAGAGGCTGCATTATCGTCGTCGTCGCTTTTCAAATCACTCAACCGTCTGATCGTCGAAGTTCGGTTGCCTTCTTCTTTAAGCACCTCCGGACGAGCAATGTAGGAGGTAGATTCTGGTTTGCCTGCCTCATTCAATCGGATCGAGCTCGCTCTGACTGTCAATGTCTTCGGATCCGTACCTTTTTTCAGTTCCGGTTTGGATTCAGATACCTGAGACGTTTCTGCCATTGCGCTGAAGGAGCGATTTGAGTGCAATGCCAAAACGGAATGGAAGAAGATCAATTGAGAGTGAAGAAACAATGCAGTGAAGCAAAAAAAGATAAAGAAAAGAGAATTACATCAGCGTTAGACGTAAGCTGGAGGTGTAAAAGAAATGGTAAACTGAAGAATGAAGAAGATGAAACAATTATATTACTAATGCAAGACTCTTACCGATTTTGCCAAGCTACAATTAATAATTAAATTAAATTAAATTAAATTAAAAAAGTGAATATTTGGATTATTAATGAGTGTAGTAACCGGTTTTCGTCCGGACACGAATTTTTACTTGGCGGGAAAAGTGATGTGAATAAATTAATGATTTTGATTTTTAAAAAATATTTTGTGAGTCGCCATCGGCCTTTTGGGTCAGGTAGGTCGAATACCTAAAAATCATCTTTTAAAAGAGTTTTTAAGAAAACATCGATTAAAAGATAAACTGATATGCGTTTTAACCAAAAATTTATTCTTTTTAATAATAAAAAGGGATTCGTGATTGGTTACATTTAGGGAAGGATTAACACCCCTACAACGCCCAAAATTGATACTTTTTAATTATAAATTGTCTCTATTATTAGAAATTAAAAATTCAAAATATATTTAATTTATAATCCTATTATTTTAAAATTATAATTATGAAAAATATATATTAATTTATATATATTTATAAATAAAATATTTATTTATTTAGAAATATCAGAAAATGACTTCTAGGTACCTTAAGACAGCTCTTTTCTTTGATATTAAAAAATAAATAAATAATTAAAACAATTAATATATAATTTATAAAATAGGATATTTATTTATTTAAAAATATCAGAAAATGGACATCCAGTTATTTTAAGACTGCCCTTTCTTAATATTGAAAAATAAATAAATATTAAAACAGGATTAAAATAAGTTAAAAATAATTAAATAAGATTTTAATAAATAAAATACATATTATTTATTATATAAATATATATATTTATGGCTAAATAATAATAATAACAATAGTAATAATAATTAAAAGTAAACATATTAAACAATAAATAAAATTAAAACTATATATAAAACTTGTAAAATAAATAAAAATTGAAATTAGTGACTAAATTATAACCTAATAGAATTAAATACCTAATTCATAATTAATTATTTAAAATTACAGGGATTAAACATGTTATTTTACTTATTTATTAATTTACGGACTAAAATAAAATTATATTAAAATCGTATGTCAAATTAAAAGAAATTAAAACATGTTATTCAGGGTTTAAGATATTAATTAATAAAGTTATGAGGACTAAATTGGTTATTTACTTAAAATATCTATTATTATGCAAATGACTAAAATAAATAAAATTAAAGTTATTAAACCGGATTAAAAGGATTATAAATTGATTTAGTGACTAAAATGTAAGGATTACAAACTAGGATGGCTGTAGAAAGGGTTTGGCTATGCGCGAAATTACAAATATATCCCTCCCAAAATGATGTCGTTTGGGAAGGGGTATTTATACCTTCGGGCTAGCTCTCTCATTTTCTTTCTCTCTTTTTTCTCTCTTCTTTCTCTCAAATGAGAGAACCAGAGTTCTCTCTGGCCTCTCTTTAGCTTCCCTCATCGGAGGGAAGCCGGTCACCGGCCGGCATCCTTGTGCCACCGATAAACTCTCCGCCGACCACCACTTTCGGTGGCCGGAAAAACAAAAGCCTCCCGAACGATAGATTCGAGTGATCTACGTTCAACTTTGTCCTTAGTTTTCCTTAAAACGTCCCGTATTTGCCTAGATCTAAGAAAAATACCTTCGGTATTTTTGTTTCTACAGCGGCTTATGAACTCCGGCGACGTCGCAGCTTCTTCGGTAAGGCTTCTCTTAATTTTTGCTTCGATCTTTTGATGGTTTTGGTTGTTGTGTTCTCTCTGTCTCTTTTCTTTTTTTTCTTTTTCTTCAGGTTCGGTTGATGGCTTTATAGCCATCACAGGCGCTTGTCTCAGATCGGGTAAAAGAGTAGAGTTTGGTGAGTCACCGAACTTCCAGTGGTGACTCACCGTTGAGGGCGACGTGTGCGGCTATGGCTAGGCCTTCTGGATCCTTCGGTTGGCGTCGTGGCGGCGTGGTAGCAGAGGTTGGCGAACGGCGGCCGCATGGTCCCTAGGGTATCATCACCCTAGGGTTTGTTCTGGATGCGTGTGGGCCGTTAGATCTCTCAGATCCAACGGCCGTGATGCTGAGGCGGCTAGGGTTAGATGATATAAACCCTAAATTGGTTTTAGGGTTTCCAGATGGGTTTGGGCCAGTTTGGGTCATCTGGATCCATTTGTAATTGGGCTCCAGTTTATGTAATTTGGGCCTGTAATAAAATTAATAATAAATAATAATAATAATAATAATAATAATAAATAATAATAATAAATAATAAAAAACCAAATGTAAAAAAAAACTAGTGTCTTCATCTTCCCCTCTTTGCTCGTTCTTGTGTTAACAAGAATAGAGCAAAGACGAAAAGACAATAAGTTTTTTTTTTCATTTGACTTTATTTGGAAATGTTGAACAAGTTTTTCTTTGGGATTAGTTCTTCTCATTATGAACTTTTCCACTGGGGATGACAATTTATCTCCTTCTGTGATGTAATCTAGCAAAAAGTTGAACAAATTCTCCTCCTTATGAACTTCTTCTTCTTCAGATGAGTTCTTCTCATTATGAACTCCTTCTGGAAATGTTGATGATGATATATCTCCTTCTGTGATAGAGTTATGCAAAAGGTTGAACAAGCTCTTCTCATTATGAACTTCTTTTTCCTTCTTCAGATAAGTTCTTCTCATTATGAACTTTCTCTGGAAAAGCTGATCCATCGAGTGATGGATTTGAGCAAAAGGTTGAACAAGCTCTTTTCATTATGAACTTCTTCTTCCTTCTTTAGACGAGTTCTTCTCATTATGAACTTTCTCTGGAAAAGCTGATCCATCAAGTGATGGATTTGAGCAAAAGGTTGAACAAGCTCTTCTCATTATGAACTTCTTCTTCCTTCTTCAGATGAGTTCTTCTCATTATGAACTTTCTCTGGAAATGATGATCCATTGAATGATGAATTCAAACAAAAAGTTGAACAAGTTTTTCTTATTATGAACTTCTTATTCCTTCTTCAGATGAGTTCTTCTCATTATGAACTTGACCTGGCAATGCTGATCCATCGGGTGATGAATTAAAGTAAAAGGTTGAACAAGTTCTTCTTATTATGAACTTCTTCTTCCTTCTTCAGATAAGTTCTTCTCATTATGAAATTTCTCTTGAAATGCTGATCCATCAAGTGATGGATTTGAGCAAAAGGTTGAACAAGCTCTTTTCATTATGAACTTCTTCTTCCTTCTTCAGATGAGTTCTTCTCATTATGAACTTTCTCTGGAAAATCTGATCCATCGAGTGATGGATTTGAATCTTTGCTAAAATCTTTGAAATTCCTGTTAACCTTTAACATGTATAAAATGAATGAAAATGCACCTATTTTTGCAAATGCCTAAATATGATGCATGAATGTTAAGTTCATTTTTTATTTGATTTCAAATTGGTGAACTCGGTCTTTCTTCAATTGTGTAGAAATCCAATAAATCTTTCCTCTTCGAATGGAGAATCTATCATCTTTGAAGAGCGTAGATGTAGATATGCCTGAATTTTTGTATGATGTCACAAAACCACTTGAGAATAAAACTCAATAGTATAGGCTCTTGAAAAGCTCACACTCATGCAACATATTGATTTTGATAACTACTTATCTGATCATGAAGTGATCTTTCAAGATGATTTCACAGATATTGATAGTTCTTCTGATACCGAGGAAATCCTGAATTCTGATTCTGATGAGGAGAGTAAACTGTTATACTTGATAAAAATGGGATACTCAAATGCTAAGTCTTCAATAGTCATAGAGATGTGATCCTGATTCATCAATTGCAGAGTTGACAGATTTTATATGTGCTGCTCAAATGGCTAAGGTTGCTGACACACTTCTTCCGGTAAAAGATAGGAAGTCATTATGCAATGATTCCAATTACAAGAAAAGGCAAAACTTGGGCTATGATTTTCTTAAAAAAGAAGAAGCATAGGTAGCTTGGAAAGAAGCTTCTTGATGAAGACAATCATGCAGTTCATCTTCCTAATCCAATGATTGGTTTTGGAATTCTTACCAAACCAGATCAGATAACTCAAAGAACACTTCCAGAAGATGCTATTGATTCTCCTTATTTATACTATGATAACATGGTGGTTGCTTCAGTTGGTGTTTGGACCAAAACATCACATTACTTATATGATGTAGAGCCAGAATTTGTAGATTCGAAGCATTTTTGTACTGCTGTATGGAAAAAAGGCTATATTCATAATCTACCAATTGAGAACAGATTTCTTCTTATTCCGCTTCCAAATAACTCTATGATGGTAATAATTTGTTTGCTTTTTAACAATGATTGCAAACGTTGATAAGACTTACTTTGTATTCCATGCCTTTAAAAGTATTAACATAAAGTGATATTCAGAAATCTTTAACTTATTTCAAAATTATGTTAATCCATTTACAAAATAAAAGAATAAATTGAATTTTTGAAAATAAATTGAATCTCAAATAAATTGAATTTAGAGAAAATAAACTTAGAATTTATTAATAAATAGATATAATTGTATTCAAAGTTATGGCAAGCATAGGAATGATAAAAATTCAAATGACTCAACAAATTATTAGCATAAGTATTTCTAAATTAATCAAATTGATATAATTTAGAGTACTGATGTAAGCTTTTGTCTGGAAGATCTCAAACGTTGTCAGAATGCTTGTAGATGTGAAGTTCCTCCCAAACTATCAAAGTCTTAAGAGGGTTCAATTGCCAGATGCCTAATATCAACATACATTTGAGCCGCCCTTTCAGGTTTTCAACTCAAATCCTTCCTTTGGTTACAAGATGCCCTTTGCGGGTTTTCATCTTGACATTCTCTCTCTTTTTTTTCTTCTTCTTCTTTTTTTTTCTTCAAGCATAATATTTCTTGACAGAATCTGAGTTTATTGGGTTTCTCAAAATTTTTCCA